GGATAGCAAGTAATAATAGAGTGAAGGAATAGGAATCGTCTCCACTCTCCACTCTCCACTCTCCACTCTCCAGTACTCCCCACTACTCTTGAGTGGAGTTGGGACAGCTGCCCTGCCCTTGTGCCGGTGGGGATTTGTGAGGTTGGGTGTTTTACAGTTGCAATACCACCAAGTCAGCCCTTACTAAAACAACAAACTGCTAGTAAACTAGTTCGTTTTGGTTTTGGATAGGCCAGCTAAAGTGCGTAAGGAGTAAGGACCAAGGACCCGGACCCATCATCAGTTTCAGTTCCAAGTTTCAACAAAATACATATACCCATCACTTGTGCCGGAGGTTTCTCTCTTCTGTCAACTTCCAACCCCACACTGGTGACTGGTGACTGGTGACTACTGACTAGACAGCCAGGTGGGGAGACTATATATATATATATATATATATATATCACCCAGGACTTAGCCGCTGTTTTGGTTCACATTATTAACCCATTTGTTTGAGCAAAAAAAATCTTCTCTTCGCCCCTGGAATTGGACCATCGACCCTGATCGAATATATAGGAGTTGACTTACATACATGATTGACATGATTCAAAGGCCTTCCCAATAGCTAAAATTGTTGACCAAACGAGGGCTTAACCCTAACCAAGGTTTTCAACGTGATCAAGATTTTGTCAACCATAACTTGTTGAAAAAACTTTTAGCAGAAAGCCTGAAGATGCTACATTGTTATGCAAATTTTGAACTTTGCTTCCAACTCTTTGCTATTAATGCTCAAAGCAATTAAGTTGACAACAAGTTTTGCAGCTGCGGATGGATCTGATGACTCAAAGTAGGTGTATTTGTATACCTAGCTAGATTCAAGTTTGGTTTCACATCTGACTCAGATCATCAAATCGATTACGATATTATATTCCAATAAAGAAATACATGGACGGATAATCATTCCAAAAAGATTGTAAATAGAAGATGAGTTCCCATCTCTCTCTCTCTCTCTATATATATACACATAGCCACATCTGAACAACAATTCCGAAACGATTGTAGTTAAATAGAAGATGAGTTGATGCCTGGACGGATAATAGAGATATTATGAGATGATCTAACCAAAAATCAACACTGTTATATGTCCATGGGTGTGAATCCTTTCACAATCTACACAGAACTAATCCGTGTAAGGAGGGGTGTTGTATATTAATTAAGTGCAACACCCTTTGGATGGTGTTGGTGAACATCACAGGATCTAGCCACATCTTGGATATGATTTATGATCTTCATCATATCATTATCCACATCTAGAATTGGTCCATACTCATGAAAAGCAATTTCTTTTTCGCACAAGACATATATATATATATATATATATATATATATATATATATATCCACCCTAATTAGCAACAAATCTCAATTTATGATAATTCAAAACATTTAAGTGATTGGAAGTCCTTAAAGAATATCAAAACAAACATTGAACTACGATGAAAAGCGTCTAGTTACGACAATCAACACTAATGAAAACCATTTTTTGTAATAAACAATTTGAAACAAAACCCAAAAGCAAAACACAAAGACAAAGACTAGCGGTTACCATTACCAAGTATTAGTAAGCTCCTTATCAATGTTTAAGGAGCTGCTGCTGGTTACCTCAAGAATAATAAGGAGCTTGAAACTGATTGAGCTCCTTATGGTCATCTACAAAATGCTGGTTATTATGACCAAGTATTAAGTACTTTTTTTCTCCTCTCTTCCCATGTTCATTCTTCTTATTTATAGAAGGATAAAATAGGATTTTTAAAATTTTAAATGGTCTTTTTTATTGATGGAAGGTATGTTTACGGAGAAATATACTACAGCCCCTCATAGTCTACTAGTAGCCCGACCCTCCCATAAATCACATTCTGCCCTGGCTCTGGCATCAATCCACGGTCAGGATTCATCACATCTGTATGGTGGGGCTAAGAATTCTGAGGAGGGCTGAACAGTCATTTTCCCATATGTTTAAGTCCAATAGGTTTAGCCCACAAAGTATGTTTTAGTCGTGTTAAAAAATTGAAGGTACATTTTAGTTAATTGGTGAAAATTCAGTGTATGTTTAAGTCTTTTACCCAAAGTTTTCCAACCTAAGAGATGGATGAATTCCTCACCCACAAGGAGAAAATTGGTTAAATTATATAAGACTAAAATGTCCCTAAGAGAAAAAAAAAAGTAGGAATTCTTCAAAAAATTCGCTCACTTACCCATCTAGTAAAAGAATATGAGTAAATATATATACTTACCCAAGTAACATTTAGGCCATGTTTGGGAATGTACATTAAAAATAAGTGCTTATTAATGAAGTGGGTAGTGGGCACTTAAGTTTGAAATAAACATTTAAATAAAAACTTGTCACTCTTTTGTCTTTCATTTTTCGAGTGGGTGGTGGGCACTTAAGTTTGAAAATTTGGGTGGTGGCCGATTACTGCCTTCATCAATGAAGTTGTAGATCGATCTGAAACCCCAACCTGGAACGAAAGAGAAAGAAAATTGAAAAAAGGGAAAATTCTTTACCAGTACCATGTACTTTGGCTCAAGTGATAATTTGGTCCCTAAATTTTAAATTATGACAATTCAGTACCCCAACTTTCAAAATGTGACAGTCCAATACCTAAACTTTCAAAATGTGACAATCCAATACCTGCCATTAACCAGTCCGTTAGTCAGCCATTAAGTGACATTTGAAAAGTTGAAATGTCCTAACAATGTCATCTAATTCTCTTTATCAACCATCCAAACATCAAATAAAATGAACAGTCCTAAATTCTAGATTCTTCTAAACAGTCACCAACTTTTTAATAGAAGAGGCTAAGATTTGGGACCACTCAGTTTTTTGTTAATGTTTGGATGGTTGATAAAGAGAATTAGATGGCACTCAAAGGGCATTTTTTACTTTTCAAACATCATTTAACGGCTGACTAATGGACTAATTAACGACAAGTACTGAATTGTCACATTTTGAAAATTTGAGTATTGGATTATGGCATTTTAAAGTTTAGGGACCAAATTGTCACTCGAACCAAAATAGAGGGTACTGATCGGGAATTTTATAAAGCTTCCAAAAAGCAAAAACGGAAGAACGAATGACCAATCAAGGATCGAGCCAATTGAACCACCTGTTGCAGCATCTCATGGCTAGCCCGAATGCATCTCAGAGTTGATCGTACCAATAGCCACTAGCATCCTTTGTTGGACTCACAACAACAAACCTCAGTATAAAATCATAACAAAAATCATAAGGTATTTAAAAATAGCAATCACAGAAATTTAATAGCAGCAACACAAAGACTTACCTGGTTGGGTTGGGAAAGAAAACTGAGAAACAATACAAATATTGTATGGTTTACAGGCCAAACCAACCCTAACATTTGTACACCAATTCTCTCTTTCCTTTCGATTCGAATAACAAAAACAAGAGAAAAACCCACTCTTACATCAACTCTTCGTATAAAAGAAAGGTTTTATATACAAAACCTCTTTAACATAAAAGGGATCTCACCAACTATCAGATTAAAATTAATCTAACGATTATAAAATAAGACACAATCCCAACATCCTCATTTCCAACCAACCAGCCAGTAAAATCTCTATTTGGAAGCACTTAATTTCTCCCAATCTACTAGTAGCCTTTCACGAAAATAAGAGTCCGAAGGCAAGTAGTTCATGACTTGGAGCCGATTGAAGTCACCTCTAAATCACTGATTGAAGGCAAGTAGTACGTCATACTTTCTGTCGTTCGTTTTTCCTTTTTCATTTCCGGTTCCACCTACCAGACCTTTGCTATGGATTGGGGAGCTGGTGATGAAGCTCACGCTGAACCAACTCCTGCGGTTCACATGATGTATGCTTTCTCGCTTCACATGATGTATGCTTTCTCGCTTCACATGACCTCCAGCCTCCGGCCCAACTGGTCTCTAACTTCATATATCTCTGATCAAGTATTAACTCTTACCAAAAGAAACTAGCTTTTAAACTCGAATACATTGATTATCGATCTGATTGATAAACTCGAATCCCAAAATTCCTTCCCAAGTTAATTGGCTTTTAAGACCGGTTCCTGAGCATCTTCTACTTGATCTGTTTGGTTCAGAACTTCTGATTATAACACTGAGTTTTCAGAGTAGGCAAGATGAGGTGGTTTAGTGTTTCCGACCAATTCCAATTAAAACCCGTATTAAAGAACTCCTTTTATCCTTTATTCCCCTCTTATGTATTTCAGAAGGGACCGCCCCTCTTTATATATTCTGTCATTTTTCTCTTTCTTTGTTTTAAAAAAAAAAGATGGTGACAATGATGATGATGATCGTTGGAGTCGGATCTGCTTCCATATCTTTCTAAAAATTTTCATCAGTTGAGCTGAAATTTTGTAAAATATTGGAAGATAAATGACATTTCAGCTTTTTTTATTAGTATTTTGTGACAATGGCAATTGTCACAAAACTTGTGAGTACTTAAAAACAAGTCAATTTCCTAAACCATAAGAATACTTTAAAAAGATATTTATTAATCACTTGAAAAAACTGGAATTTGGGTTTAAAAAATGTCATTATTTTTAAAATAAACACTTAATTCAGACTTATTTCCCAAACACAAATAAGTGTTTAATGGTATAGTCCCAACCTGAATAACATGGAGTTAAATAAATGAACAAGGCCACTCTATCTGTGCTTATTTCTTAATCCAAGAATTGTTGCATTAGAAAGAGTCCCACAAAGTGGGGCAGCTCTTGGACATGTGATGCTAGTAGATTTGCATTTGCTACAAGATTGCAATATGCCATATGTGTTTAAAAGTAAAATCCGAACTCGTATTACCTTCCAGGTTGCTTCCCCCTATCCGAACTCGTATTTACCTTCCAGGTTGCTTCCCCCATCAGTGGAATCACTAGTCTCGTACTCTTGATAATTAATGTTCATGCTTTAGGTTTATGACTGGATTGGCATAGGGGTATCATCCAAGAAGAAAATCATTAAAAAAAACAAGGGATTACAAAGATTTATCTGAAATCAGGTTCAACAATACCATATGGCCAGGGATTTCAATTTTGGGGCCTAACGAAAAATCGAAAACAAGCAATAGCACATTAGCACTAGCAGGAACGAACCGTCCAACTACCAAGTTATAGTTGGGGAGAATTGAACAAGTGTTCAAATTTTGTGGGAAGTTATATAAGTTAAATGGCATTCCTGACCCAAAGATCGAGAGGGCAGGGAAGGTTTAAGGAAAAGCAAATGAGTAAAAAGCACACCAATATAAATAGAAAATTACAAATCAATTACAGAAGACCACAAGGCACAACACATCGTTTTTTTATCGGCCTCTGGAGCTCAGGCTATTGGGTACGAGTCCTGCTGCTTTCTGCACTTCTCACAGGATAAAAATATGGATGGGCCTTGCATGAAATCAAAATAGTAGCACATCAGAGATAGCTCATAAATTATTAATGAATATGGGAGGAATATAAAACTACATAAAGTCCATTCATGATTTGATGAGGAGATAGTATATTGGATTGAAGAAATAGTATATTAGATTGCTTTATCAAGAATGGAAGGGGCAACTGAAATCCATGGGGTATATACCGTGTCTTCATGAATTTGATTTTCTTTTTTCTTTTTTTTAAGACACTGTATCATAAGTTTCTAATTCGTCGGGTCCTTCCAAGAGGGCCCCAATCAAACTGTCCCAGTATTTTTCATTTTTGTATGTGTATATGTATGCATTACCATTGCTTCTTTTGCAGTTGGCCTCTCTTGATGATCATATCGCAACAACTTGTCAACAAAGTCAATTGCCTACATTACAAAAAGAAGTATATCCAAATTAATATAACTGGGCTGGTAATAAGGTTATATAACATTGTTCTTGGTAAAATAATTAGAAAAGGAAAACTTGGACCTCAGGCACTGCCAAATGTTGATTATCAGCATTAATGAACTTCGCCCATGGCTTCCGACTATGCCTACAACAAAAGAAAACAGAACAAATAAATAATGAAAAATCCATCTTTCAATATCAACAGTTCTGGTTTAAAACCATGGAGTTAATCGTGGGATTTGTATAAAAAATACCTCCCAACAAGGGCCTCAAGGTGTGGGTCCAGCTGCAGACGGTATTTTCCCAAATAAGCATTCAATTCATCTGTCCCAAGTACCTGCGAAAAAATGAGAAAATCCTTCTCATGCTACTCCCTGATCAGAAAATAAATTGGATTTCAAAATGGATTTGGCCATGGAGCCATATTCAAGAAACACGATCAGGAAGTTTCTCCTATTATTGGTTTGTTGTGGGTTGAGGCACATATGATGCATATATGCTCCTCAAATACATTTCAACCTCAAAGCTATGCATCACATCTTGCTAAAAAAATAACTTAGATGTGTTCTTCAATACAAAATAAAGCCGAAAATGTCTGACAATTAGACACACTTTTAGTTTTGTCATATTACAAAGTTACTAGTTAATCCGTCTGTCTTAAAAATTTCACTCTTAACTGTATCAGACAAATTGTTTTAAGAATAAATAAAAATATTAGGTGAAAATTTCAGATAAGTAGCATACTTTTTATATAGAAAGAATTTATAACTATATGAATTAAAATAGTTATGCAATTATGTAAATTTCATAAAAGTATGTACTATATTAATAAAATACAGAAGTTACAATAACCACTTTAGTATAGAAATGAACTGAGGTCATTAGAACTTATTTATATTCTTTTAATATTCTGTTTAAAAGAATGTTTGTGAAGCTTATGCTCCACACACTGAGGCTTACACCTGCCTCAGGCAAGAGGAAAGCTTAGCATCATACCTAAGACTTCTTTCAGAGGCATGAATTTAATTATTGAAAACACAAGGCTTTCAAAACATGCACAAGAAAATGAAATGTTTTCCTAAAATCGAATCAACTGATTCAATACTCTCTGAACCTAGATACTGAATAAAGCTACACTTGCTACTTTATTAAGTGAAACAACAAGAAATTCCAGACTCTGAGAGTTGATACATACCTTAGCTATTTTAACCAGTTGGTCATAATTATCATGCCCATAGAAAAATGGCTCCTTGCGGAATATCTGCATAGGATAAGAGTCAGGATGAAAACTGAACAAACGGTATGCATGGTACAGTAGTGCATAAAATTCAAAACCTTTTCATCCATCCTACGCCATTGGTGAACAATGAAACAGGTCAGGACCCACTTTTACTTTTAGTGCAACTAAGAGAAATTTCCACCCCATAATCAGAATAGTTGACAAAATTTATGGATAGTCAATGAAAGAGAGTTCACGTATGCGGTGGTAATAAGGCTGATTTAATGGGGCATGGTGCAACCGAAGATGCACATACTGAAATTTTCATACTGTTGTACCACATCATGAATTACAATTTTGAAGGTCAAGAGCTTGAAGAAGGCTCACCATTCCAGCAAACATACAACCAAGGCTCCACAAGTCCAAAGAGTAATCATAGTCTTGCAAATCGACAAGGAGTTCTGGGCCTTTAAAATACCTGTGAACAAATGAAAAGTCATGATAGAGAAATGAATGCATGACAAGCCAGAAAGATAAGACAAACCAATGTTAACTCTAGGTTATCTGATTCAGTGGTCATAATTATTAAATTAATTTCATGCAAATGAAATTCCAACCAACCACTTGAATCGGGAACAGCAGAAGAATGCAAAAGGCCATCCTCCCACTCAAAATTACATGAACACTTTCAGTGGTCAAATTATGTGCATAAGGTCATAATTATTAAATTAATTTCATCATTTCATGCAAATGAAATTCCAACCAACCACTTGAATCAGGAACAGCAGCAGAATACAAAAGGCCATCCTCCCACTCAAAATTACATGAACACTTTCAGTGGTCAAATTATGTGCATAAGGTTACCATCACAATATCCATAAAATAGCTGTAGACCAGATGCCTAAACACAGGGGTAGCACTGATAGATAGAGTACAGTGAGATGGTTTAACCATTTCCTTGCAATCTTCAGCCAAGAGTAAGTTGTTCCAAGTGGACAATAGGATTTGGTTTATCTCATAGCAAGCAAGAGGCTTTCGCAAAAGGGATCATATTCCTTAGAATATCCTATGTATCTCTCTATGCTGAGCCTTTGGAAAGCAAGATGAGCATATCTCCATGCTGATGCTTTTGGAAGGCAAGATGGGCTTCCTCTATTTTGATGCCTTTGGAAGGGAACATGAGGGCTTTTTTTAAGAAAGATCCTACCTAGGCGCAGTAATAGGCAAAATAAAGAGAAAAAGAATGTAAAAAGCTACCACTTTAAAAAAATTTCGGGAATGAATGAGTTGTTTTTATTTTTTCTTATAGATGTGTAAAGGTCAATCCATCTTTTAAATGGTTTCTCTCATCTCATTAACCATGTAAAGTCCCTATTCCCTAGCGTACAAGCTTTTTTTTTATTTCATTAACCATGTAAAGTCCCTATTCCCTAGCGTACAAGCTTTTTTTTATTTCATTAACCATGTAAAGTCCCCTCAACTTCCAACTTCAAGTCTCTAACACCCAGCTGTTCTGCTAGTCTCATGCCTTATAACAGAGCCATTATTTCAGCCCTAACTGAGTTTCCCATGCCAATTGGTCCTGAAAACATAGTCACCACTACCCCTTGGAGGTTTCTATAGACTCCTCCTATACATGCCCTTCCCGGATTGCCCATAGAGCTGCCATCAAAGTTAAGCTTCAGCTTATTTACAGCTAGAGGTTTCCAATCCATTCTCAAACTGTCCTTGTGTCTATCTGTTTTTGCCACTTCAGCAGTGTTTTAAAAGTGCAAGGCACAAAAAAGGTGCAGGGGTCAATTTGTGCCTGAGGCGCAAGGCACAAGGTGAGGCACGCGCCTTTTTGAAGCAAGGCAAAAAATACAAAAAATAATGCTAAAAAATAAAAAATAATGTCAGAAAATTCAAAAAAATGCCAAAAAATTCAAAAATAATATTAAACATAAGATTACTAAAAAATATAAAGTTAAATTTTAAAATAATGTTTTAAAAAACCTATTATCTACAATTAAAATACATAAACATAAGATGTAAAGCATATTCAAATGAGAATTTAAAAATAAAATCAAACATATAAAACATTTTCAAGCATGTAAAACCTCTAATCTCTTTTTTCACTCAATTGCAGTACTCCACATAGCTAATGTAATGTAAAACATATTACATTCATGATTCTACGAGCTGCCTTTGTGCCATGCCCCTCAAGGCAAGCCCAAACAAGTTCACATTAGGTCTTAAATTCTTGGTTTTCACACAAAAAAATAATGATTTTATAGTTTTAATTGCTTTTTAAGAAGACATTTTATTAGGATGAATGAATGAACTACATTACCCCCGGCCCAGCCATTATGTTCAAAAAAAAGCAAAAAAGCGCCAAATTTTCAAAAGGCGCACGCCTGGGCTGAGGCGCAAGGTGCATCAAGCACACGCCTAGGCGCACTAGGTGTGCGCCTTTTGAAAGGGCTGCACCTAGGACCTAGGCGAGGCGCATACCCTGAAATGTGCCTTGCCTGTGCGCCTAGGTGCACCTTTTAAATCACTGCTTCAGCCCATGTTCTTACTATGTCATTGGTCGAAAATTCTCGAAACAGCTACAAAGATTTTACCCAATGTGTCATTCCAACTGTTATAGCTTCAATCTGTTCCTCCTTGGATCTACTTCTTTCATTAAAGATCCTTTGGTTTCTTTCTTCCCAGATAGTCCAACCTTGCAAGGTAGCATAAATAACAGAAGTCATTAGGGCTGGCTTAAAGATCCATAGGGTTTGTATTAGGTAGGGGTGCAAGTGGATCAGATCATGATCCGATCCTATTTGGTCGAATTCGGATCGCCCCTGTTTGGATCTTTGGATCGGATGATAGGGCCCAATCAAAAATCGGATCGGATCCCCCCCATCCGATCCTATATATATTATATATTTATAAATATAAATATATAATACATATATATGTTATTTATTTATAAATATATTTTTTATATTATACTTTAAAAAAAATTATATTATTTAATTATTTTTGTAAAAACATGTATATATCTGATCCGAAGATCCGACTTATCGATAGGATTCAAATTCAAATCGAGTTCTATCGGATTGGATCTGACATGAACATGTCGGATCGGATTCAAATATACCCTGATTTGAATCCAATTCAATCCGTTTGCATCCCTAGTATCAGGGAAACATAGAATGAGGGGAAATATATGGGTCAGTGAAGGTTTCAAATGTCAAATACCAAGGCAGGAGTTGATGGAAACTAGTAATTTAACTATTGAGAAACTAACCAAAAGAAAGAGTAAGACCAGAGTAGAAGGGGGAAGAGAAGGGAGAGAGAATATATTCATCAATCACAACCTTTGTATTCTAGCATTCCAAGATCATTCCACATCCACATTCAGATTCATCTCCTTGATTACAACAGAGCACCCCCCCCATAAAAAAAGGATATATTTTAATCATTATCATGATTAAAATATACACGTATCCCACTACAATAAATACCCATGTGTATGATAATATACATGTAATGGGAGTACGGAACACTTATCACAAACTAAATGGAAGCATAAGAGAAAAGTGTGGGAAAAAGTGCAGGAGATTTGGACTCCCTCAAGAAATGTTCAAAATATTGCAACGTATTGTACAATAAGTGTCAGTTTTCAGAGTCACTGAAATGCTAAATTCCAAGAGTTGGGCTTTTTAATTGGTTTAAACATTAACATTGTAACTCAAGGTTCAACATTTCATCATATATCAGGGTGTAATGTATCACATCGAACACCACTCCAATATGCTAAATATTGAATATTCATGTGTATCAGGTTGTATCAATACTTTGAACCTTGTTTAAACTCAAATGTGCATTTCTGAACTTCATCATAATCACCTAAGACTTATCCCAACAATGTGAAATCAGCTAAATGAATCATATTTTGTCATTCTGTTATGTTCAGTGTCATATCCATCGTCAAATTATAGGAGCTAAATCATTTCTTACTACTTCCATCTAAGTCCTTTTCACCTGCCCCTAGTTCTTCTAGCCCTTTCAACTTGTAACAGATCACTTCTTCTAGTGGGTACTGTAGATGATCTTCTAGAGCTTTTTTTAATTTTTAAAACTGAAATTAAAAAAAAAAAAAAAGATTATCAATTGTTAAAAACTTTGGATAGGCAACTTTTGCATTATCAAGAGTATCTTTGAAACTTACCCTTGAGTAGGCTGAGTATGAGGGTCCTGGTTCATAGCTAAAACTTTCCCAAGTGAAATTTCTTTTTTCCAGACAATTTCAGATTTCAGACCCCAATTTCTTGAAAATATTACATGAAAGAATCACAACAGATCATGAGTTTAAGTTTACAGGTACTTAGTTAAGCATTGAAGAAACCCTACCAGCTGAAGTTTGTTCAGAGTCTGAACTGGAGGACTCAAAGAAGAACCTTCTAGCCCATCATCCATGTACCATGATCATTCAACATATATATATAGTTTACTTCCAGTACTATTGTAAATGTTACAATCCAATGGAGCCACATGAAACATCTATAAATGGTAAAGCTCCATTATGCAAAATGCACACCCAAAATTCATTTGGAATTAAGTTCTGAAATATGATAGTCAAATACAGTGAAGGTTTTAGTCGAGGAAACTTAACAAAGAAATATAAATATTATGAATCTACCAAAGAAGTACAAGATGCCAACACACCTTGAAGCAACACGTACATTGTACTCTTTCCCTGGATGATAGAATTCTGCAAGTCCCCAATCTATAAGGCGAAGTTTACGCTGCTCATGATCAATCATGACATTATGGGGCTTCACATCTCTGTGCATAATACCTTGAGAGTGACAATAGTCTAATGCCTACACAGAAACAAATGGAAACTTAAAGATGATCTGAAGTCAAAATAAGTCTTTAGACTTACATCCTAATTTTTTGGAAACAGTGAGTGTACATATATAAAGAACTTCTGAATAAAATGTAGAAAAGAGATCCAGTGAAATTTGCAGTCAGACTCGGAGATTTAATATCATGATCTAAGAGAAGACCGCAAATTATCAATGAAAGACGAACAACTCTAGAATGCAATCAGAGTTAATCCACATATGAGGAAGATCACACAAAGTGAAGCATGGAAATAAAAAAATACTATAAAGATTACCTCCAAATAACATGATGAGCAGCCAGCTCAAGTAATTTAAGTGCACAAGGGAACATCATCTCAGAAGTATGAAGGGTTTTTTTTTTTTTTGATAATTAGTATGAAGGGTATTTTTGCACAGCAACACTTCTATACCCTCTAACATACACCTTTTTATTATTGAAATATTTCAGTCATCTTTTGACAGGTCTTTTTTTTACAGAAGACATAATCTCAGACAAAGCAGAATGAAGGACTACAATTAATTGTTAATGCAACCAACAATACTTATGTAAGAATGAGGCAAGTGATGATGTGCCAATGGCCTAGTAGTTGAAGTCACTCGGCATCCCTCCAAAATAGGAGACATGGGATCAAACCCACGGATCTGCAGCCTCTATAAAGTGTGACCAGTAGACCACATGAGCACCCTGCTCTGTCCCCACCCATGATTCTACTGTATTGTATACTATGTAATAGTGTAAAATCCAAAAAATGCAAAATGATGATGCAAGATTCTTGTGACAGGTGAAATTTTCTGTGTTTGAAGAGAAATAAGAAAACTGCTTAGTTTAGTCTTATTATTTTATCATCTATTTCTCTCCATTTTTTGGTAGAACAAGCAAATTCAAATATAAGTAATTCTTAATCTTACCCTTTCTTAAATAGGAAAAGCTCCAAAACCAGGTTGGATCAGATGCAAGTTGGGTTAACACCCAAGTTTCACCTGCATCTTACTGACACACCCCCTATCCTAGCAGTCTGCCGCTATGACTTGGTCATGGCAGCATGAAAAGGGGGCTATATAACTGCCATGTAATGGTTCCAACCACAATCTCTGAAACCAGTTAGAATCTCAACAACATCTCATATGCTCAATTGTCTATATGAGAACCATACAAACTCTGGCAAAATTTAGCTTCATCAAGGTCCTAATGGAGTTGTCTCACCATCAAGAATGTTATCCATAATGAAATTAAATCGATCTCCCTCAGCGTTTTTTGTTGGCACGTGGGGGGGGATTAGAAAAGGAGGTACAAGTGAGAAAAAGAAGTGAAATTACATTTTATATTATTGATAAAAAAATTACATTTTCTATTAATCTTGGAGAGGAAAGCCAACATTACTGCAACCCTACCCAACAATGCATATATAACATATATAACAGTCACTTTAGGAGCAGGGTAAATTGAATTATCCAATGACCCTATAACACTGGCATCCCTATTAAAAACGTGCCTCTCTTAAAGAGACTTCAACTAAGCACCTGCTCCCTGTTTGCCATGTAACTTAATCATTCATTTAGAAAGTAATGATACATTATATTGCAAATTTACTCCTCTAAACATGTCCATGGATCTTAATGAGATGAAAAAATTGCACATAGAAAATTTCTAATATGACCCATTACAAATTTGACAAAGTTTGTTTTCTTTTTCTGTTAGTGAGAGTGGGGTTGTTGGGCGGAGAATTTCTAATATGGTGACAACAATTCCACATGGTTATTGAGCATTGAATCTATATGATAAAATGGTTAAGTTGTAAAATATTGCAATAAGAAAAATGTAACCAATACACTAGATAACATGAATATACAATGTTTAGTTTTTTTCCTAACATGAAATCAATAAGGATGATAATAATGAGCTTGCCTTTAACAATTCGTAGATGTAGTATCGAGTGTCATAATCTGATAGAGTTGGATAAAGCACTTTAAAATCGGTATTGTTCACGTATTCAAAAATTAGGCTAGGTGTCTTAGACTGTTGATCTCTGACAATATCCAACAATTTCACAATATTTGGCCCACCACAAAGGTTCTGCAGTATCTTTATTTCCCTCTTGATCTGCATAATCACATAAAATGAAAATAGAGCTGGGTAATCCTGGATTAAAACCATTTGAGTGTAGTAATAAAACAAAAAAGGGACAAAGGACCTGCAAATATGCTACACTAACACAAGCATCAAGTTGAACTTTGAAATAATAAATCCCCAAAGAATTGACATCTTACAGAAATCAAAAGATTGCGGTAACAATAAGGGTATAAAAAATAGAAAATGTGCATTTGTCAACATCAAAACATAAGTTCCCAAATAAATGGGACAAAGAAGAAAATAATTAAATACTTCCTGCCTTCCACTTGTCTGACCTTCACAAGAAACTCAATAGTCCCCTTGCAAGTTATCTGATAAAACAAGCATGCATTTTATTGGATGATGTGAATAAAGTCATTAGGAACATCAAGAGCAAAGTCACCAAAGTACAATCATCAAGTTTCCATTGTAATGGGAGCTGACCATGTAAAACCCCCTAGACGAGGCTAGCATAATAGCATAGAGAAATATGCCCTGTGAAGAAAACCAGCATACTGTGATCCTGGGGTAGGGACACCTCTTTTTTTATCACTAACTGCAACTTTCATTAAGTTATATATATAATTAAAGGGGGTTCAACTATGATATGGCAAAGATATGATATCTAAAAAATGTCTGACCAATCAACTGGAATCATAAATTTGGTAGCCAATCAGGTTTTATTTATCAAAATTCATGGATGGGTTTTGATTGGTCAAAACTCTTTGGATACTATGTCTTTCCCACAGCATAGATTTTCCCAATTAAAGGATGTGTACATATAAGTATACAAATTTCAATTTGGTAAACCCAACATCCAAAGGGAACTAAACTGGTTGTGCTCTCTTTACCCCTTCCATAACTGCCAAGATTCCAGCTCTTAGGGAATCCCCACTACCAATAGGACTAGAATACAAAGTAATAATGTTTCCTTCCTCATCCTTGAATACTCCGATAACTGAAGGGCCCAGATTTCCTTAACTACTACCATCAAAATTCAATTTGGTAAACCCAACATCCAAAGGGGACCAAACTGAACTATGAACAGTTTTAATAGGAGTTGAACACGCCACTTCTTTCCAATTCTTAATAATATCTCCTACTGAAAATCCCTAAAAGAGCTTCATAGTCTTGACCCAATGAACCACCATAACAGTTTTTGCTTCGATCATTCGTTGATGACATCCTTACTTATTTCTTTTTCAGAAAAAGATTCTTTGATTTCTTCCTCCCAAATTGTCCAATAGATAGCTTCTCTTACACATCTCCACAAAATTTTATTTTCACCTCCCCCCTTTGACCCTCTAACAGAAATGGAATTAAACAAGCTCTGCACATTTGATGGGGAGGTCTACCTGCAACCAAATAGAGAGAGAAACCAACTCCAGATATCTGAGACAAAAGGTCAAGAGATTAATAAGTGATAGCAGCTCTCACCATTATCCTTACATAGGATGCACCAGTGCGGGAACAAACACCAATTAGGCCTTTTTCTTTAAAGTAAATTGCAAGTGTTACACTTTTCTAAAAAAACTTCCCAACAAAAAGCACCTATTCTGGGAGGAACTAGTTTACCCCAAACTTCCAAAACTGGGAAAGGTTTCTCATTGACAAAAGGAGAAAAAAAAAGCTGAACTAACTCTCCAAAGAAAGAAGAACAAGAAAAGACACATGAGGGATAAGGGATCCAAATCCTACTATCCCTCCTAGAGGGATCAAGTACCACCTCATCCAAGATTTTAAGCAAATAAAAAATACACTGTTCAATTCAGAATCTCTAAGTGCCCTTCTAAAGCCCAAGTTCCAACCCAAAGTAGAGTTCAAGTTAGTATGAGCTTAAAAAGTGGACACAGGCTCATTTTTAAACCAAGAGAGGGAAAACAAAGAAGGGAATTACTGATCAATGCCACTTGATCCAGAAAATACATCAGCATAAGGCCATGAAACAAGGGCCAAGATCTTTGCTGACCAATGTCACTTGGTCTAGCCAGTCTTGAGCATACAACAAGTCTCCAAACTGGCCTAATTTTTTGCCAAGTTGGGCAAAGAAAACCATTTTAACCATAACCTTTTATGGTTTGTGGAATCAGCAAAAGGGTCAGGAAAAACAAAGAACAACAAACAGCATCATGAGGCTCAAGTAACCATATCTAGACACCCTCAACAGTTGGATCAAGATGGGAATCTGACAAGTGATAATACAAGCACAGAGAAGGTGAAGAAGTGGAATTTATGGGGATGTTTTGGCCTCCCATCCACATTTTCAGTCCCCTAGTCTGCATCAGCCTTACACCCGCACCTTGAAGTAGAGTTTGCTCCTGGTGATAGTACCCATCCAAACCTTGCCTTTTTCTTTTCAATTCAACCCCCCCCCCCAAAAAAAAAGAGGGACTTAGCAACAAGAGCTCTTGGGCTAAAATTTGACATTTGAATAGAGTATACCCTAAGGAACATCTAGGGCCCTTCCCTTTTGACTTACAGCCATTGTGGCATGCTGCAATGGAAATTTTCTGCATTTTATACATACATGAAAGGGAGAGAAATTATTTTTTTGATAAATGAAAGGGAGAGAGATTATTGCCAAGGCATTAACGGTTGCTTACTTTTATTGTACCTTATGATATTTGTACAAGTTCTAACACAATATGCTACTGGAATAATGTTCAAAATAGTAATACCGATTCTCCTCCATATGCCATATTAGGGGCCTAGAGTTCTAGATCTCCATATACATTATGACTTGGATCCAATAGTATAATGGCCATTCAGTGCTTATATGAATACTTTCATATTTCACTTCTGTATTGGACTAGGCAGAGACGAGCCGGGCAAAAACGCATCTCAACTGAACTCGTTCACAGCCATACATTGTTTCTTCAACAAGAACAGTACCGAAATCCAAACTATGTAGAAGAAAGCCATTTGTCCTTGAGGGAGCCACGGAAGGTCTCATCTTTTTCATACTTTTAAGGCACGAGCACCATAACAACCAATAAAAAACACAGATATTGAAGAACGCTTGTTTTTTGAGAACCCACTATACAGAAATGGGGAAATTTTTTAATATTTAAGAAAAAAAAAGAAATGAGGTTGTAGCTCACCTTCTTCTTCTTCACGGGTTTGAGAATTTTTATAATACAGCGTTCGTTGTTGGTACAATGAACACCCTCGAATACTTCGCTGTATTTCCCTCTTCCCACCTTTCTCACCACCTCATAATCATCCTGGTCCCTAAACAAAAAAATTCAAAAAATAAAATAAAATAAAAAAAGAGAGAAGAAAGAGAAATCAAAGACAAGCTGATTAAACCAAAAGAAAAAGAAAAGAAAAATGGATTTTCTTTGGGGCAGTTGTGAGTATACCCCCATTGGACGGTGAGGGACTCATAGTCCCAATATTCCTTGGGCCGGAGGACATTAACGTCGGCATAAACCCTAGCCTTGGAGCTGGCGCCAGGCCTACGGATGGATTTCCCGATCTTCTGCGCCAGGTTTTCCGGTATAGCCGATAGACGGTGGTGATACGATGGATATTGTTGCTGGGGATGGGTGAGTGGGGCCCCGCAGAAGATCCTACGGCAACATAGAAGACGTGGCGCTGTGATTTCTCTTCCTAGTACTACCGGAGAAGGCGAAGAAGAAAATATAAGTGCCCAGACGGAGAGAGAAAATGGTCGATGTTGAGAAATTAAACGCAAAGGCCTTACGGCCATGAAACAGGGGGAATAAATAGTTGAATAACAAAGAAGAAAGGAAAAGAACCGGCTCTCTCCCCTCTTACCACCTTTTTGGATTTTGCTTCTATCCCCAATCCTTGTTTTTTTTTTCTTTTTTTTTTTTTACTTTTTTAATTAAAATAAAGTAACAACAGACGTTCCATCGAGCTCTCGGCTACGGGCATTCTGTTTCCACATAGCTGCGCTGGCTCGGAATTTTCACGTTCCAACTTCCAATAAGAGCGCATCCCCCGTGCGAAGCGTTTGGTAACGGACATTGTGGAGAGCCGAGTAGCGCCGAACCAAACCATGAAAAATGCACTGTCGCGTTGGCCTGGACCATTTTTATTTTAGAGCCAGTTTGGGAGGGGTGAGATGAAAATTCAACTAAATCTGGTTCAGCTGCTTTGGAGCGCATTGAATAAGCTAAAAGAGCCGTTCAAATGATTTACTGACAGTCGGCTCTCGGGATTTTCCTTTAAACATAGCTTATAGCTTATAGGTTGTCAATGTGGGGTCCACCTTGGAGACCCAAAAGCTTCTGCACTTCTAACGTCTAAGCGTCACAAACAGACTATGTTTGGTGAAAAAATAATAATAACATAGAGCCAAATCAGCCAATTGAAGGGGTTGTTCACTTTAGTCTGTTTGATTAACTTAACTAAAGCGATTGTAAGATTCTCTGACTTTTAACTAGGGGTAGGGGATGAATATTGTTCGGTTAAAATAAAAAATTTCGGTTATTTTAGTTTTGATTTTTGGGTAAGGCTGTTAATGGGTTCGGGTCTATCCGATAGAATCGAACCGACCTCACCAATTATGTTGGTTTTGGTTCAAAATTCTATCCCATTGGGTCAGTTCGGGTTTTTTACTGTGTATCTCGATTACTATTGATTCGATACCAGTTTTGGCTGTCTCTGACTGATTAAATATTCAATAATAATAATAAGACCAAGTACCCACTATTATCCTCATAACTTTCATGGCATTCTTGAAATTTGTATTATAATAATGTCTATAATTGTAATAGTCTTTAAAAAAGACTAGATTTTAACAATTTTGAAATGTTATTTATTTACAAATCATTGAATAAAATGTTATTTGTTTACAAAAAACTACAGATTTTAACAGTTTTTTAATTTAATCGGTTCTTATCGTGCCAGACTCGATTGTCAGTACTGGTTCTAATTTTATCTAACCGTTAGGGTCTGGTTCGGTTCTGGGTCTATTGATTTAACAATCGATTCGGAACGGTTCTACCTTGTCTCAAATCAGACCCAGACCGTTGACATCCCTATTTTTGGGTTTGATTATTTTGGTTTTCAACTAATTCAGCTTTATAAAATTTTGGTTTTGGTTTCAATTTTCAAGTTAAGATATTTGGTTAATGGAAAAAATCGAATTAACTGAATTTCATAATATAATATCATATATATTGTAATATATATATATATATATATATCAGTTATTTCGACTTTTTATTTCAAACTTTGGTTTTAATAATTTTGGTTTATTTGGTTATATATTAACATATGTTAATATATTAAAGAAATTCGGTTTTTTCAGTTTTAGTTCAGTTTTTCATTACAAACTTTGGTTACCATCTCAATGTTCTCGATGTACGACTGTAATGGCTATTAGGACCTTGTGTTGGTGTTGGGATTAGATAATTAATAATTAATTAATTCTCATGATAAAAATATATAATTACTAAAGAATGAAAAAAAGTATTTTTTATTTAATAAATAAATGAGAAAATAATTATTAGTAATACAAAATAGAAATTAGTAATTAATTCATAAAACATGTTAACTAATTAATATTTAATCAAATAACTAAAATTAAAATATTAGTTCTTAATTAATAATTAATTGACTAATTATCAATATTAATTAATTAATTGTATTTAATAAATGATAAAATATTAACTAATAAAGAATATTACTAATTACCTAATTAATTGATTAATAATTGTTATTAGGGTTGATTTTCCCACTATTTCCCCTTTTGCAACAAAACAAAGGAACAATAAAAATTTTCATCCATGTTTCCTTTCCCATCCCATCCCATTCCATCATTTCCCATCTCACAAAAATCTTTCCTCAAACCAAACACAGCGTTATTCGAACATAAAAAGATGGTTTTCTTGTTGTTGTTGACCYGGATAGTCGAACCATTTGGCTTAAAAAAAACTATCAATTCAATTGGTTTCGTTTTACCCTACAAATGAAATTTTGCCAAAAAACACTGCCTTGGTTAGCGACGGTTTTTAATCATTTATTATTTTAAGTATTTTTTTTTAATTTGCAATGAATCATCTATTCGGATTGGACGGTCGAACTACTGACCCAGAAAACTGGTATCCGTGTCCAAAGCAATTCCTGATCAGTTTTTAAAACATTTGATGAAAGTTAGGAGCTCTAGTGATCACAAATCATAATGCCATTGTTTTGTACACATGGGACCCACACCCATGTATGAAAGTATCAAACATTGGCTTGTTTACTCTATTGGATGTGCAATCGATTATACACAGCATTGCAAGCAATGGATTTGGAAATGAGAGCTAAACCTAGCTTAATTGGCCTGGTGGGGGGTAAGATGATATTTGTTTACTAAGGTTGTTCACTACCCCAATAAAAATAGGTAATGCTTGTTGACAATAGCTTAATGGCTTTAAGCTGTAACTGAAGTCGGCCGAATTAGCAATTTAGCATTTTACGTTGCTTGGAGTTGTAGTTTTTGGTCTAAGCCATTCAAATTTTGACAAAAACCAGCTCAAGTCTGCCCAAGTTATACGTCCACTATAGGGTGAGCAATCAGTTTATTTGGTTTGTGGAATAAATCGATTTTTTTTAATGGGTTAGATCTATCAATGGACATAGAACCGATGGTTCACGGTTCCAAACCAACAACTCAAAAAATGACCATATGGTAAAATGTAAATGGTGAGAATAAATGTACACACAATCCATGCAACCAAAACTCGCACACCTCGTCTAAAAAAAACCCATAAATATAATGCATTCTCTTGTACATCTTCTTAAAGTCACATGTCTCTCTCTTTCTCATTTTAAATCAACTAAATACAACTATATGGAGTATTTTTCTTAAAAAGAATTACTATATAAACCTTTCTTCAAATCTAACCAAATACCGCAGTTGGTGGTGAAGTATATCCATCCAAGGTTCGATTATGATATTGGAAATATATCATCCTAGAAAAACTCATAAACAATGAATATATATATATATATATATAAAAGTGGTAATTAATCATGAGGTTTTTGTCAAAATTCATGGGGGAAGGGGTGATTGGTAAAAGCCATTACGGTATCATGTTTTCTTGGCACATAGGTTTTTCATCCAACGAAAGTTAACTTTATTAATTAAAGCCTATTAGTATATATTAAAACAAAATTAGCCACGTTAAACGGCCTCTCCTTTTACCTTTCCCCAATTAAGGTTTATCCTTAGTTCCCCATCTCTCTTCAAAATATCATTCATAATACTCTCAACTAATGGTGCATCTTGGGTGGGTTGGGTCAGGTTGAAGGTCAACCCAATCTCAACCCTAAAGGTGTAAACCTTGGGCTTGAATTTGGCCATGCTTAAGGTTAAGCCCAGGTTTAATAACAAAGGCCCAACCCAAACTTAACCCAACACAACTCAGGTTAGGCATGGGCTCGGGTTAGGCCGGTCCGAGTTAGTTGGGCTTGGGTGGATTGGTCAGATTTGAAATAATTTATGTATATTTTACATAGTCATCTTTTATTGGGCTCTATAACCCAATTTAAGAGTAAAATTAATTGAAAATATGTATAAATTTCATTCGCAAATGTATTTAAGCATACTTTATACATAAGCACAATTAGATAAAAGATATTTTTTATATAAATATAATATACATATGTATGTATTTTTAGCGCAAGCTTAGATTGGGTTGGGCTTGAGCTATCAATGGTCTCAACCCAAGCCCAACCCGTGTTTAAGTTAGATCCGGGTTTTTTGCCCCATATCCATTCCATGTATCGCCCAAAAACTTAGGCCCAACCCAGGTAGGCCACAGTCAAATTGTACTCCTACTCTCAACTTGCCACCTCAGCCCCCTTGTTTGCCCCTTCACTAGAGCCCCACCCATTTGCACTCATGATTTATATGAACTTTTAAATTAGGGTAGAATAACATAGAGTTTTACTAAAATAACCATACAAAAACTATAACTTGGTACATCTCTAACGATTCTTTGAGCCAACCCTTCCACCACAACAATCTTACCCACACTAGGATCTCCAATCAAAACTGGATTAATGTTCTTTGTTCTTCTTGAAATAATCCTTATCACTCTTCGTCTCTACCAATGACTGGGTCTAGCTTCCCAGTTTGCTCAACAAGGTCACGAACACAAGTCTCTAGTGCCTGAAAATGGGTGTCACCGGAAGCACTTTCTGATTTCACTCTTGCCACACTAACCCCAGCCTCCTTTAGGAGATCTCTGATTTGGGAATCCTCAGGAAGATCAAGAATCAACTGATCAACGACAAGATGGGTATTGCCGCAAGATTTCTACAACGATTGGGCTCGCCTGATTACCTTAATCAAAGAAGTGTTTGAGGAGATCTCCAAAAAGAAAAGAAAAAAGTGTTGGGATAATTTCTCCAAGACATGAATCTCTGAGATTGACGCGTGAGAAACTGTCAGAATACAACTTTGCCATCTAGACTTCAAATGGCGGAGTCCTCTATAGCAGCGTTTGGACTTATAGCCTCCACAGGTCTGCACACCATCTCCATGGCATGAGTCTGAACTTGATGGAGCTTCACGGGTGGGAGATTGAAAAAGGAGAAAAAGGGTGATAATTAGCAAATAGGTTATTCAAGTTAAAGTCTATTTTAGGGTTATTTTAGTAAAATTTTATGTGAAATTATATATATAAGGGTAAAATGGGTATTTAGAAAATAATACATCAATCAAACGTTTTTTGTTTGGGAAAGTTGCAGAATGGAGGTTTATGTTGAATTTTCTAAAAATTTAGGAGAGTTTTTTTATTAAAGTATAACTTGAGGGGAGATTTTTAT